TGGAAAAGTAATAAAGAAAACAGTGGCATAATACATGTAAAAATGTGGGTGTTTATATTATTTCCCTGAAAAATTCAGAGTTTATAGCCTCAGTCATTCTGGGATTTTCCATTAGAATCTAGCTAATAATTGTTCATGGAGTTTTGAGGACACTGCAAATATCCTCTGCAACTGTTTTTTGGTGGGAAGTTTGCAAGTAGCCAATCTGAGAATATATTTGGTTCTCCTGGCTGCTGACTGGCTGCTGCCCTGTACCCATCTCTGGCAGATGCACCAGTGTTCCCGCATCCTAACAGGTTGCTGTACCATAAGCAGCCATCTTGGGTGTTCTCAGTTTTGTTCTTCTTAAAGCCCTAAGATCCTGAAGATGCAGCTAAAATACCTGCGCCTTCTAAGGCTTTGTCAATATAGTATTTTATTTAATTAAATTACATAACTGTGGGAGACATAGCATAATTCCGGTTTAAACTCTAAAAATAGGCATTTAGAGGCATTTTTCTGATCATATCTGAAATTTTAGTTCTTTGTTTTTTAAATCTTGAGAGTTTCACTAAGTCACTAAGTTGTCCAGGTGGGGCTTAAATTTGTGATCTCCCTAACTGAGCCTCCTAACACTCTGGAATTATAGGCAAATGCCACCACACCTTGATCATACAAAATTTTTTAAAGTTTCATTTTACTTTGGCGAGAACAGTTAACTTTAACATAAAATCTATTCTCTTAAAATTTTAAGTGTACAATGTGGTCTTGTCAACTATAGGTACAAATTTACACAGAAGATGGATAGAACTTATTTGTCTTACTTAACTGAGACTTTATGCCTTTCAATTAGTAATTGCATTTTTCCCTTCCCCTTCATCCCATAGGGGATATACTGTCTGATTCTATAAATTTAACTCTTTTAGATGCGACTTGTAGGGGGATTCGTGTAGGATTTGTTTTTCTGTGACTGACATTTTACATAGTGTAATGACCTCAAGGTTCATTCATGCTATTGCATATGCAGAATAATACTCTATGTCTCAACGATGACTTCTGTATTCATTTCTGTATTGACTTCTGTCCTATCTGAGGACATTTCAGTCATTTTTGTATCTTGGAAATAGTGAAACCCTCTCTCAAGATTAAAAAAGCAAAACAAAAAAATCTTTTAAAAAGAGTTGTATCTCAGTGTGAATGTCTTGCTTTCAATTACCAGTATAAAAAATACTGTCTGAAGAAGGAATCTGTCTTTTTAAATGGTTTGTCAATTGTTCTGACATCATTTTTGCATGTCCATCATTTCTCCATTGATTTGAAATGGCTTCTTTTAATACAAACTACATTTATCCACAAATAGGTAGATTGGTTTATGCAGTGGATCCCCAAAATTCAAAAGGGTTATGTTCCTCAAGGACCCACAAATTGTAAAACATTGCAAATTTTAGATATGGTAACACCAGAAAATAAACACATGCTGAAATCAAAGAGAAATCTCTTTCTTCTGTTTTTCTCTTTGCTGTTGTTTCATTTTTTCTTGATTATTTATTTGTGTTTTTTAATGAGTGTGAACATAGTTTTTAGTGTTAAAGTTTTGTTAAGTTCTTTTTGTGTTTTCCTTTTTTTTTTCCCGATCTTCACCAGTTTCCCAAAGCTTAGGTTATCTTCCTCTGTCCTTCAATTTTGCTTCTAATCTTTCTCATATTTTCTATATTTTTACTTTTAACTCTTTTAAATTTTCTGCTTTGAGGTAAACTTGCTATATTGAGAGGATATTTACTGTATATGATTTTCTGATTTGTTTTGCATTGTCTTATATAACTATAACTCTTATAACTGTGAGTAAAGGTGACAAATTAAACAGTTATCACAGTTTGCCATTTTCTATACTGGCCTTGATGATATTGTTATTATCAACTGTGCAAAAGGGATGCGATTGTTGTGATCAGTTGTTCTTTCTTGTATGCCAATATCAATGTTGTCTGAGGGCTGTAAATAATACACAGTTCAGTACCAAAGTGCTGGGTGCTAGGCTGAAAGGGAGCAACTTCTTATCCCTAATAAACAGAAAACGCAGGACCTTGATACAGACTCAAAAGCCAAAAGCTGGCTACACACAAATACATCTCTTAAAAGTAGTCATTTCCTAAGGAAATCTCAAAACTAGTAATAAAGCTACTTGGGATAAATGTTTTACAAATAACAATGCAGAAAATGAATTTTTAACAATAGAAAATGAGAAGACATGGAAGCAAAAATGGATCCCTCAGCCTCCATCTCATCTAGGGCAAATCCAGACAAACTGAGATGGAAAAATCAAAATCCACCAACCTGATCTTTCAGAAATGGTGTCAGTAGAAGTAACAAAGCAGATGAACAAGAGTCTAGGGGGGAAAAAAACATTTTTTTTCACAAAGCTGAATGACCATAGCGAATAATATAGTTAGTTAATCTAGACTAAAAACAGATTTAAAAAAAAACAGAATAGCTGGAAAAAGTGATAGAAAACATGAATGGTCAACACAGGAACGAACTGGACACCATGAAACAGATTTGAGCACATATCCAAGAAATTAAAAATTCTATTGACAGCATATACAGCAGAATCAAAAATGTGAGGTCAGAATATCAGACCTAGAAGACAAGTTTGTGATTAGTGATGATCAAAAGCAAGATTTCTTAAAAATAGAAAGAGATCACAAAAAATCAATGTAACAGCTGCTAGACAATGCAAAGAAGAATAACATAAGATTTACTAGAGTCAATAAAAAATCAGAAGATGGTACAAAGGACATAAAAATGGTTCACAGACATAATGGCAGAAAACTTCTGATAAGTGAGGCATATAGAACTCCAACTAGGTATGGTCAGAAAAAACAAAGAAATAATAGTCAAGATATCAGAAATTCAACCCATGTACAATATGAAATGCTTTTAGAGAAAAGAAACCAGTCACCTACCAAGGAATCACAGTAGACATCTAAAAACAAGACCTTAGGTCAAGAGATCTTGGAATGATATATTCCAAGCCCTAAAAGAAAACAGTCTCTAACCCAGCATTGATATAGCCCACAAAATCATTTTTCAAAATTTATGGAGAAATCAGATACTCTCATGATAAAGAACATCTGGAGAAATTAATGAAAACAGCACTGCAAAAATGTTCTGAAATATATTCTAGAAAGAGACAAGGGCCAGGGATACAGCTCAGCAGCACAGTGCCTGCCTGACAAGTGCAAAGTCATGAGTTCAATTCCTAGTACAAAAGAGAGAGGGAGAGAGAGAGAAGGAGGGAGAGAGAAAGAGAGACAGAAAAAGAGAGAGAGAGATAGAGACAGAGAGACAGAGAGAAAGAAACAAAGAAGACATTTCCATGAATCCCAGTAGAGTGACTCTGCCAGACAAGCCAGGCAATTAAAAGAGAAGAAAAAAAGGGAACCAACAACAGGAAAATACTATGAGAAGGATAAGTCAATACATATCAATTATAACCATCAATGTAAATGGCCTAAATTCATCAATCGAAAGAAACAGATTGGTAGAATTGATCAAGAAATAAAATCCTACAATATGACAATATGCTGCATGGAAGAAGTACATTTTTTTACTTTATGGGGAAAAAATAAAACAAAATTTCATATCAAATTAATAGGAGAATAACAATAGTTAATACATTGAATATTGTTAGCTTTAGTCGGTAAACAAGATATGGGTTTATAAAGATTTCCAAATGATACTAGCCCAAACTTTTCTTTTCAATGAACTAAGAAAAATTAGTTGTATAACCATCTTGCATATTGTTTTTTTTCCCTTTCCATTCTCTCCTCTTACTCCCATCACAACTCTTTTCTCATTTTGAACATATTCTTCCCATTTCACAGGATCTATTGTGCATTTTGGATCTTATCTACTGTTTCAATTCCTCACACAGGGGCAATACAATACTTACACATGTAAAGGTGATTTATTTCACTTATGTTTATGGTCTCAAATTCCACCCACTTACCTAGAAAAGTCAAGTTTCTCTTTCTTTCTGGCTGAATAGTATCCCATTGCATAAAAAAGACCACATCTTTTTTTAAATCTGTTCCTCAGTTGATGGGCATTTGGGTTGTTTCCAAGATTTAGCTTTTAATAAGTGTGCTGTTATAAAAATGGGTGCACATGTGTCTTTCCCTTCAATGATCTACAATAGTCTTTTGTTTGGTCATCCTCTCTAAAATGTTTATAATCAAGCAGAAAGTTGAAATATTTCCTTAAAGCAAAAGTATAATCAAGTCCCTTGCTTGTTCAAAAATCTTTCAATTACATTCACCCTATTCCATGAAAATTCAGTGTTGTCACCATGGTCTATAGGGTCTTACGTAGCTAGGTGTCTGGTTATATCTTCTGTCTCTTTTTCTCCTCCCACAAGCTCACCCCTTTGGGGGCACACACTGTTTTGTAGTTTCTCATTCAGGCCACACATGGTCCAGCCCCAGGAAATTTGCACTTTCTGCTTTCTCTGTCTAAAAGTTTCCTCTCAATGTTTAGGACTGGCCCTATTCTAATCTTTAAATTTTGTGCTTGGGGATCTCTTCTCAAGATACTTCTTTGCTACATTATACTCTGAACACTCCTATTATCTCTTATTTCCCTACCCTGTTATATTTTCTTTCAAAGAAAATACTTATGTTTATTTTCTCTTTTCATCCTTTCAATGCAAGACCCAGGAGTTGAAGATTTTGAATTTTCCATTTATTAATGCATTCCCAGTGTCTATACAGTACCTGAATCATGTGGGTACTTAACAAATACTTGTTTTCTGAAAGTTTAAGGCAAGCTTTATTTATCTTCTAAAAAGAATTATGTGGTGCCCTCTGATTCTCAAACGTTTGCTGTTGCTTCCTGTCAGGGATTATCTGCGTCTAAACACATGGAAACTAAATAACACACTCTTGAGTAATCAGTGGGTCACAGAAGAAATTAAAGAAGAAATTAAACAATACCTAAAAGAAAATGAAAATGCAGATACAACTTACCGGAATCTGTGGGATGCAATGAAAGCCGTTCTGAGAGGAAAATTTATTGCACTGAGTTCCCACATCAGGAAAACAGAACGAATACAAATAAATAACTTGATGCTACACCTCAAACAGCTAGAAAAAGAAGAGCAAGTCAAGCCCAAAGCCAAAAGAAGAGAGGAAATTATAAAAATCAGAGCAGAAATCAATGCAATAGAGACTAAGAAAACAATCCAAAGAATCAACGAATCAAAGAGTTGGTTCTTTGAAAGAATAAATAAAATCGATAAGCCCCTAGCCAACCTTATTAAAAAAAAAAAGGGATTATCCGCGTCTGCCTCGGAGTCCAGGCTTAGTGATGTGACTCTCTAGGCAGAAGCTTTAAGAGCCTGTGTGGTTAGTGTGTCCTTTTGCCCTCCACCACGGTGGCCCACAATGTTCTAGACAGAATGTGCTCTGTCAGCCTGGGCCCCAGAGAAAATGCCAAGGAGCACAGCTACTGTTCACCATGGCATGTGTAGTAAATAAACTTCGCTATATTAAGCCAGTGAGGTTTGGGACTGTTTCCACAGTATAACCTAATTTATCTTCCTGGTGTAGTCACCTAGGCAATCACGGCCAAAGAGAGGATCAGAAAATATAGAACCTAAGACATTTTAACATATTACAAATGTTGCCTGAGCTGAGTCTCCCTAACTAGGGCTTTGCCACTAATTTTATTTTTTTTTTAAATTTAAAGCACTAGAATATTTATTTTAACATCATCAAAGGTCATCTATCTGATTTCCCCATGTTTTCATGAAAAAGCATTATGGAGAAAAATAACTAAAACATCTTTTGGATTTAAAAACTGTTTACTAAGGGACCAGGGGTTTAGCTAACAGCAGCACAAGTGCCTCTCTGGCAAGCTCAAGGTGTTGAGTTTAATCCCAGTACCAAACACACACACAAACAAACAAACAAACTCAAAAAACTGTTTACCAAACATAGTATGACATAAAATCAAATGAAAGATTTACAAGTAATACTTTATAAACCTTAACTGAAATCTTATTTTTACAGTTTCCCAATTGACTCTGAAAGAGCTGGTCCCAAACTCAGCACTCTAAGATCCTGGGAGACACAGAGTGATACAGTCTAGAGTCCGTGCTCTACTCCACTTACAAACACCCAAAGATATAGTGTATAATTTCGTGTTAGTTCACAACATTTCAAATTGTCGGTAGGAAAATTTGCATAACTCTAAAGAAATTACTATTGCTTCTTAGGACTGAATGGAAATAGCTTATTCTACACAGCATTCCTAGGGTCATGTGACGGTGCTGTGCAAATACACAGGGCTGAGAATGCCGTCATAGAACAGTACATTTGTGCTTTGTTTAAGAAACATGAAACTAACTGGACCTAGCAGTAAAATCTTCCTAATACAATATGAGGTAGTGGCTTATATTATTTTATAAGAGGTACTTTACATAAAATAGTAGAAGCCATCAAGAATTGTACAACTTTATTGTTAGGTGCCAGAAACAGCCTGCACTGGATATGAAGATAGAAATTGAACATCATATGTGTATTTTCAAATGCAGGTGTTATAATCAAGAAAAGTTTATTTTTTCTACAAAAGCATTCTAGCCCCATCTGTGCCTTGTCTAGGTTTCCCTTCCCTCATGGAGACGGAGAAGAGAAAGAAAATAATTGTAGACTTTTAAGACCTTTTATTTGATCTTAATGGCAAGATTGAAGGTCTCATAAAGTTAAAATATTGAAGAAGAGTTAGAGAAGTAGGGAAACACATTGATCTAGTAATTTTGTGAAAGGAAACCAGAAATCTTAAATTGATTTACTTACTTTTGGAAGCAAGAAAAAGATGATACTGAAAAATCCTTGTCCAAAGTGAGCCGTGTAGTGAGGGTTCCCAAGCCAGAAATCATAGCCAGGAGCAAGGTAGTTTGCTGAACAGCAAGGATAAGTTTTGTGTGCCTTGGTAGAAAGCCTCAGCTTCATCCAGATATTTTTGCGATGTTCAAGGAGAAAGACAGATTAACATTTACCATTGCTGACAGATGAAGAGACTTTGTGTACCAAATCTCACCCTCTTCATTTTCAGGAATGCAAACTAAGTTAGATGTTTCTTTCCCATGAAGTCACTAATCACTAGGTAAGCCACTTCCAGTCCCAATATTACTCACTAAAAAGATAAATAAATTCTTTTCTAGTACTGCCTGAAAAGAATTTCAACTGGGGAAGTGTCCTTTAATTTAGATGAATATAATAATAACCTTTCGAAAATGATTGTCTAGCCCTTCTTTAGCCCATTCGCTATTTATTCTCACTTAAAAACAGTCTTTATTTCTCAGATGTTATGATTAAGCTTTGCTAACAGTAGCCAAAAACACAGATTTTGGTAAAGTATGTACATACATTGGAATCATTCAAACATCAATGATGAATTATTTAGAAACTCAGAGAATAACTATGTACCAGTTCACATGCCTAAAGGACAGAAAGACACAGAAAGACACAGAAAGACACACATTGCTCCCTGTAGCTCCGGAATTCTCCTGTTCTTGTTTGTTTTATAAGTTTTCTGTTCAGATTATACCTGTGAACTGGATGAAGCTCACTGCCTAGAAAATTTTATAAGCTTTTGCTTTTCTCATACTTTTGTTTACAATGTTTGTAACCAATTGAGGTGTTATTTTACATATATGATTCTACCTTCCTTTATTTACAGGAGGTTATTTTAATACTTAATAGATAAGGTGTTTATCATGCAGGCTATAATCACCTAAAATAATCGCAAAATAGAGTTAGAAAAGGTGAAAAAACTCATGTCTTAAGTCCATTTTGTTTCTTTGAAAAATGAAATACATATCGTCTTCCCTCAGACAGCTCTCAGCTTCTGATTCGTACTTAATAGCCACCAACTCAAACTTCTCAGAGACTGAGCAACGTTTTCTCTGGAGAACTTTATGAAATCTCCCTAAAATCCACTTTACTCAAGGAAAATGTGATTGGGAGATTTGTAGTTGGGAGATTTATGAAGTGCACATATTTTAGCTCTTGGTTCTTCTTTACCTGCAAGATCCAAGCCAACAACAACAAAAGGTAGGAAACAGTTTTGCTGTGTATTTTCTAACCTATGCCACCTCTGCGTTTGGGAATAAAACAAACCCCTGTGATATTCACTTCGATAGTAGTTACTTCCTTCATAGTATTCATGGATTTTTAGGTAATTTTATGCAATTATTTTTAATATTTTCCATCCCATTAGTGAACAAGGCCCAAATTTATGACTGTCATATTCACCTCTGTAAAAATATTATCAAAATTAATGAGTAAATTGATTTGAATAAATTAATGGGTTAGAATGAGTGGCCAAGCTTTGGTGGGAGCACAGACATCTTTTGCAGTCACGCTAAACTCAAACTATCCAGCCATTTATAGGAATTTAATCCTTAGCACAATAACATTTAGAGAGTGGGTTGAGGTTTGATGCTCTTTAGTCAGATTTTAAGAAGGTTCCAGAAACAAGGCTTTGGGGAAGGTTGACCGGGTGCAGCTGTTGTTGTGCACGTGTATCAGGATGAGTGTCAGAGTGTGAGAAGGCATTGGACTTGCTAAGGACATTGGTGGAGCATCACCTTGATCAGTTTATTAAAAAGTCTCAGGAACTTTGTACATTTGCAGATATTTTGGAATCATTTTAAGTTTGGAACTATATATTAAAATTCGAAAAGGACTAAGAGTTTAACCTTTCAGTGTCATAGTTGCTGCAAGAGACACACGATCTCTGATCAGACGTCAACAGTTTATTCCACACACCATTATCAATAGCAGCATTTCCATCTTGGTGTCTGATCTCTCATCCCTGCAGATCAATTTGAGGAGAGCTGTTGGACACTTGCTCTCATACTGGCTGTCACAGGACAGGAATTCTGAGATCTAGAGCCTAAATCTGCTATCACAGCAGTATGCACACCTGCCCTTTGCGTGAGATGGAGACGCTATATCTTCTAAGGGCTGTTCACTGTATAAACATTCTTAAAATCTTGGCCCAGGAAAAAAGGACAATCTGTGTCTTTTGTAAGGTGGGTAGAAACATGAGACATATAGAGAACTGTCCCCAGCATTGTGTTTCTGGAGGCTTTCTTGCAAGGGGCTTTGTTAATTTAATTGATTCACGAAGATGTGCACCACGAGAAGCACAGAGAAACCCTTCAGAGTTGCATGGGGCACACACACATATTACTATCAGGAGAGGGAATCAGTTGAGCGAGGAGGAATGAAGCCAAGTGTCCGGCTGAGAAAGAGGGACAGGGGCAGTGATCGCTTCCATCAAGTGGTTTTAATGTATCTCATGGGAAGTAGAGACTGGTGCAGAAAGCAGAGATAAGAAAAACCCCTAATATGGTATTCCTTTTTCCTATTAGAATATATTTGCATTTCGGGCAAGCTAAATCACTTCTCTTTAATTTATTCCTGTCTAGCACTTATAAAAGCCAAAACAGCCCTGTCAAAGGCTATTTCATCTCTGTTTAATTTGCAGCTACATTGTTATCCTAAAGGGCCAGGGAAGCCTCTAGAGGAGTTCAGATATGTCATGAGTTGCCAGAACACAGGAAAAAAAGATGAAAAGTCATTTTTCATCAGTCATGCTGAGACCCGCGGCACTGACAAGGAAGCACCCTAAGTTGGCTGACTCCTGCTCTTGCTGATGTATTTATATTAAAGTGAATGGTAGTCCTGAGGGTTAGAGCAGAAGTCTTTACGCAGAACAGTTATGTCTATTGTGTTTTTAAAAAAACTCATGACTTGCTTTCATCGTGTAGGTCGAGGATCCTTCCCACACAGCAGGCCCTCAGAGTGTACAGATAGTAAGTGGACATTTTTTCAAGGAATGAAATAAAGCTCTTGAGGATTTATAAACTGTTTCGTCTGTCAGACGTATTTATGCAGGTTTGGCAAGTAGAATGAATTATTCTTATCAAGTGAAAATTGAGGAAATTGTCTTAGTCTCAGCAGAAGGGACCTGCACTCTATCACACCCCAAGACACTCTAAGAGCGATAACTTTAAAATGGGATTGTTGTCGGTGTGCGCAACTGGACCAGGCTGGCTCTCCTGCTGCTGAGCTGGGTGCTTCTTCCGCACTCATTCCCTGGGAATCTTAGCCGGGACCTTTCAAGGGGCTGTACCCCAAGGGCAAGTCCTCTTTTCCTTTCTCCGGAGATAGCCCTCTGAGGAATATTTCCACTCTGATACTGTACAAGCAAGTGTATTCAAAGACTTTATTATAGAGTGGCACATATTACATGTAGCACTCTGTGTGAGTTCTTTTATTCATTTCTAGTAAGAATTTTATGAGGTTCCGTTAGTAATCTTCTTATGTATGTGTAGAAAGCAGAGACAGATAGATTAAAGAACCTGGACAAAGGTCCATATTTGCAGTGATATGTATGTGAGGTAACCCCAAGCAGTCTGGAGCTAGAAGAGATCTTCAACATGCTTACAATGTTCCTGATACCTCTGCTCCCAGAAGTCATGGGACCACCGGATTGACCTGATGACTCCTGGCATTTCCTAGGGAATTTTTCGAGCAGGCTTTTCTCACAGTGGTCACTCAGTCCAGATTTGGTTCTCCTGTTTTTTTGAATTACAGATCATAATTCTGTCTTTACTTTCTTATCTTTTCCCTCATCTTTCTGAATTCAAAAAACCTGACTAGTTCATAAGTTTGCCAAATACACTCCCTTATAACGCTTGTCACGAAGTACAAATGTAAGAGATGCTGCTTGACTTAGTTTAGAAGGCGGACAATTCTCATCCTAGTGGGCTCATTAGTGTCAAAAGCATTTACTGAACACATCTTGCCTTAGGCCGTCACACCTTTGTTCTTTCCTTTGAATAAGAAAGCCCACATACTTACTACACATGTCCCCATCTGCTCTCCCACTCTGAGAGGACCTGATAGCATGTCAAGCTCACTTGAACTAATAGCCACATTATAAAAACAGTTCACAAGATTCATCTTTTCACCCAAAGGTTTTATTTAAGTTATTTATCAGTACATCTTCAACTGCTCCTGGAATATAACCATTTCCATAAGACACCATTAACAATGTTTATTATATTTACAGGTAGATTTTCTCAAGCGAGCATCATTTTAATAGCAATTGGTGGTACTCCTAGGGGCATTAGAACCATCTTTTTTTATTTTAAAGAGAATAAAAAACCAAAACAATAAAAACGATATAGGATTTCAGAACAAGCTGGTGGGAAATTAACGATCATTATTACATTGCATGTTGTTATCTTCAAAATAGCTGCTCTGATTATTAGATACAGGCATTCAAAATTGATCAGACAGTATAAGCTCTGTTCTTTTCCATAAATTATAGAATTAGTAGCACAATTTTCTTAGCTATCATATATATACCTGTATCTCTATCTCTGTCTCTGTCTGTCTCTGTCTCTGTCTCTGTCTCTGTCTCTATCTCTGTCTGTATATCTATCTTTCCCTTTCTTCTCTTTTTCCCCGTCCCAATTGTTCTACCCCTTCGAGCAATTTCTTTCCCTTTCACAATGTCTATTGTACCCTTTTGGTTCATATTTACACTTTAAATTTCTTGTGCTAGGGAGACAATACGATGTTTGCATATGTGAGTCTGATTTTTTTCACTTATGAGTATGGCCTCTATAACCATCTTTAAAACAACGGATTAGAAACTGTAAGAAAGTTGGGAATAGAAAGTAATCTTCTGTGATCCCGAGAAAAAGATCCTAGTTCATAACGTTTATGGTGCTTCTGCTCCCAGAAGTCCCGGGATGCAGGTTGTGTTTGGAAGAAGTTACAGCAGCACATCAAACCATCAACAACATTTTAAAGCAATATTTTCCATGTCTACTTGGCTGTCTGTGTATGTGCCCACTGCCTCTTGTTCTCTCTCCCCCCCCCCATATACTTGTCAGCTGGATTTAAATTTGTGGTCAAAGCTGAGGTGGGTTTACAAACAATATAGGAATCCAAGCAGCCAAATTGATAAATTTGGAATTTAATTAGCTGAGCTTAGTGACCACACACATGGACCTGTTTCACTGTCTTACCGAGTGGCCCTGAACTGGAAAATTACAACCTTTTAAACAGAGAACCACAAAAAGACATCCTGTTGGGAACAGTTTAGCTAGAATCTTACATTAATTTTTGGTTGACACCTGTATCCTGCTTCTTTTGTTGAGCAGGTTAATTTTTCTCTTGTGGATACAGCTCATTGTTTTTCTCATGGGACTTATACCCTGATTAATTTTCTACTTTCCTGGGTCAAATACAGGGCACGAGTTAAATGCAGGGCTCAAGATGGCATCAATTATGGGCTGAAGATTTAGCCCAGTGGCATAAGCACCTCACTTGCAAACGCAAGGTTATGAGTTTGATCCCTGGTACACACACACACACACACACACACACACACACACACACACACACACAAAGCAAGGGATCAAGGTGATGTCAGTTAAGTCAAGCTACAACAAAAGCCACCAGCGAACGCTGACTTGACTAGTGAAAATGAGACAGCTGAGTCTGCTCTGTAGATGAGAATGAGATCTGCCTTTCAGTTACTTATTTTTTAATGCAATTCTATATTATTTCAAAGCATCACAAAACCCTGAGCTTTTTCCCCACGTAACCTAGATTTCATCCTTTATGTACTCAGAATCATCTCTAATCGGGTGACCTTCCTTGTATTGGTGCCAAGGAAGGAATTTTACTCCCTTTTGTTAATTATCCTTGTGGCTCCAAGTCCTAAGTAGACTTTGACACATTCCAGGTGCACATTCTGGGTCCACATAGTGGAACTGCACTGAAGTACTCCTTCAGCGTCTAGCAGAATTCTTGAAAGTCACTGCTGCCCTTCCAAATGTGTGATCTTTGCCTCTACTTAACTCCATTTCATTTCTGGACCCAGTCCTCCTTAGATTGCAATTCCCTTTTTTAGAAATCACTATTGACTTTGTTTCCTACTCTAACAAGTCTAAACTCTTCCTGGCTTTGTGGCCCTCCATACTTTCTGTCTGAGCCGATTTTGAGGTGGAAATTTGCATGCAGGAAACACTGAGTCACCTCTGAGGCAGTGACTGGAACGTGAACAGAGAGACATTAGGCTGTGATGAGTCACAGCGGAAGCCTCTGATGATCCTGTAGAGAGCCCTGAGCCGGAAGTGCGTAGCAGAATCATCTTTCCATTGACGTGCGAGGTCTCAGCCTCTACAGCAATGGGTCACTAGATGTGGGCACCTACAGAACAAGGGTAATTATGAAGCCATCTCAGCCAAGGACTTCAATCCCAGAGCTGGAGAATAGGTGCTTGACCTCTGAAAGGGGATTTTGGGTAGCAGACCATGCTATTGGCCACCCATTTTATTTCTTTCTCCCCTCCAACACATGTTTCTTTCGGTTGGACTCTGTATCATGGACATTCATAGTCTCACATTCTGAACCCTGAGTGTTTATTACAGCTAGTTCACTAATCTCTCCATCTCGAACCTACTGACCGGGGTCCTTGCCTTCTCTAATATTTTTCTTCATCCCTGGTTGTTTGCACTAAACACTTTGTCATCTGAATGTGCCTTCAGTCTGTGGCACGAATTGGCATTTAAATGTAGTATCTTCTAGCTGTAGAAATGTTGTTGGACAAAGGAAGTGATAGACAAAGGAAGACACAGGAGTACATTTCTTCTCCTTTCGGCTCACATACTGTGCTCTTTGAGGGCAAAGACCATGGTTTTGTTGGCTTGTTTTTAGCGCATTCCCTTTTATAGAAGAGTGGGGTTCATTTCGACGTGTTCACTCATGTATGTTACATACTTCGATCCTCCTCCTCATTGGCTCTCTCTTTGCTCCCCTCCCGATTCTCTTCCTATTATTTAATAATCTCTTTTGTACTTTCATGTCATCTCTCTTTTTAAAAATTATCTTTAAATTTTTTCTAGATTCCTCATGTGAGAGAAAAAAAGTGACATTTGACTTTTTGAGTCTTATTTCACTTACCACGATAGTCTCTAGTTTCATTTATTTTCCTGCAAATTACATAATTCTATCATTCCTTATAGTTGAATAATATTTCAGCATTTATATGTGCCACATTTTATTTCTTTGTTAACACAGCTTAGATACTGTAAATTGAGCTATAATAGACATGGGTATGTAGGTATCTCTATACAATGCTGACTTTGATTTGGGGTGGTACAGTAGAATCGAATAGCAGCTCAATTATTAGTTTTTTATAAGCCTCCACACCGATTCCTGTAATGGTTGTACTAACTTACATTCTTGCCAACAGCATAGAAGAATTCTTATCAGCATTTAGTTTTATGTGTATGTTCTTGATGAAAATCATTGTGACTAGTGGGATGGAATCTTAGTGTAGTTGTGATGTGCATTCTTTAATGGTTAAAGTTGTGAAGCATTTTTTTCATACACTTATTGGATATTTGTACTTTTTTGATAAGTAGCTACTCAGTTCATTTGTCCATTTATTTATTGGGATATTTATTTTGTTGATGTTAAGTGCTTTTAGTTTCTTATATATTCTGAATATTAGTTGTGAACAAAAATTTCCTCCCTTCATTTTAGTTGGTTAATTGTTCCCTTTATTGTAACCTCATTGATTGATTCTTTTTTAAAAGAGATTAAAAGAAAACAAAACTGTAAGAACAAAACAATAAAAATGATATAGGATTTCAAACAAGATGATAGGGAATTAACAATGGTTACTGTATTGCATATTGTTGTCTTTGAAATAGTTTCTCAGATTACAAGATACAGGGATGTAAACCAGATCAAACAACATAAGCACATTTTCTTTCCATGAACTAATAATCATAGTAGTACAATCATATTAGCTATCTTATTTGACTGATTCTTGATATTTTATTTCCTGTAGTACCTTGATCCTCTCCAGGGGGTCTTTGCCTATGCCTATGGCTTCAAGTATTTCTCCTATATTTTATTCTAGCAATTTCAAATTTTCAGGTTTTTTAAATTTTAAAGATAATAAAGCAAAGCAAACCAAACCAAACTAAAACAAAACAAAACAGAACAAAGCAGAGCAAAGTAAAACAATGCAAATAACACAGGATTTCAGAAAAAGACAGCAGGAAATCAATAATGGCTACTGTAATATCTTGTTTTCTTCAAAATAGTTGTCCATATTTTCACACACAATAAGTTAATACACATCAAAATAGTATAAAATCAAAATACAAGAATGAGAACCTTGAGGGCTTTCAAGACCAGACACTAGGGTTATACTTAGGTCTTTGATCTATTTTGATATTGTTTTAGTACAAGGTGAGAGATAAGGATCTAGTTTTCATCTTCTACATATGAATATCCAGTTTTCCCAGTATCATTAGCTGTCTTTTTACTAACATATATTTGTCCCCTTGTCAACAAGCAGATAGCCATAGTTGTGTGGGTTGATTTCTGCATCCTCTATTCCATTCTATTGATTACCATGACTTGGATATCTCACACAATCTACAATGTATGCATGTTTGAAACTTTTGTCAAGGATAACACGGCTGATTGTGGCTGGTGTTGTTTCTGCATCTTCTATTCCATTCCATTGATTCTCAGGTCTGTTTCTTGGTTTTGTTTTTCCAGGACCATGCCAGTACAACTGTAGCTTTGTTGTATAATTTCAAGTCTTGGATTATGATGCTATGTCTTTGCTGTCCAGGATTGCCTTTACTATTCTAGGTCTCTTCTGTTTCAAAATAAATTTTAAGAATGTTTTCTCTAGTTCAGCAAGGTATATTAATGATATTTTGATTGGGATTTCATTAAATCTGTGTACAGTTTGGGGAGTAGGGCCATTTTCACAATGTTTGCTATTTCTATGAAGAAGGGCTATCTTTCCATTTTCTGACATTCTCTTTGATTGATTTTTTCAGAATACTATATATTTCAATATATAGCTCTTTTATTTCCTTTATTAGATTGATTTCTCAGTATTTCATTTTTTTTTTTTGGATGCTATTGTGAAGAGAATACTTTCCTAATTTCACTCTCAGTAAATTTGTCATTTGGGTACAGAAATCCTATTGATTTTTGAGTCTCGACTTTGTATCCAGCTATAAAACTGAATTTGGTTATTAAATCTACAAATCTTTTGCTAGAGCTTTTGGAGTCTTCTATATAGAGCATCATACCATCTGCGAATATTGATAACTTAACTTCTTTTCTTATCTGTATTCTTTTTATTTGTCTCTCTTGTCTAATTGCTTTGGCAAATTGTTTCCAAAAGGTAGACTAACAGGTGGTGCTGGAAAAGCAGAGTCTCTACTTGCCAAAGACTAAAACTAGACCCATGTCTATCACCATGCATTAAACTAAAGTCAAAATGGACGAGAGATCTAAATAATGAACCAGAGACACTAACTCTACTGCAAGAGAAAGTAGGCAGAAATTTTGAAGATAAAGGTGTAGGCAGAGCGTTCATGAACGAAACCCAGACTGCCCTGGAAATATTTCAAAGAATCAACAACTGGAATCTCATCTTATTAAAAAGCTTTTGCACGTCAAAAGTAATCACAATAGAATTAAAAGAAAACCCATGGACTGGGGTAAGATTTTAGTTAGTTGGCCCTCAGACAAAGGATTTCTATCTGGAAAATAAAGAAATGAAAAAAAAATCATACCCCTCCCCAAATTCAAAGGCCCAATCCAAAAGTGGGCATCTGAGATGAATATGCACTTCTCAGATGAAGAAATACAAATAGCAAATAAATATATGAAAAAATTTCGACATCATCGGTCACTCAAGAAATGCAAATTTGGGCTAGGGATTTAGCTCAGCGGCATAAGAGCCTGCCTGGCAAGCCGAAGGTTGCGAGTTTGATCCCCGGTACAAAAAAAAAAATGCAAATTAAAATAACAATGAGATTTCACCTCACTTCAGAAATAATGGCTATCATCAAGAAATCAACCTTAAAAATGTTGACAGGACTTTGGGGAAAAAGGAACCTTTCTCCACTTTTGGGGGGAATGTAGAATGGTACAATCACTGTGGAAATCAGTGTGGAGATTCCTCAAAAACTAGCATTGGAAGTTCCATTCAACTCAACTGTTTCCCTCTGTGTTTTCCCAGAAGAATTAAAAACATCACACCACAGTGATATATATGCACTCATGTTTATGAAGCACAATTTATAATAACCAGATCTTGGAAACAACCTAAGTGTCCATCAACTGTAGAATAGATAAAAAAAAGATGTGTTTTTTGTAGATAATAGAATACTATTCAGCTATAAAGAAGGATAAACCGGAGACTTTTGTCCTGCAGTTTGAGACCATACTCATAAGTGAAATAAATCATATTCACTTGTGTAAACATTACATTTTCTCCCCAGTGTGAGAAACTGATGGATTAAAGGTCTAAAATGTTCAATAGATACTGAAATGGGGAAAAATTGTTCAAAAGGGATAAAGCATTAGAACAGGGGAAGGAAGGAAGGGAAAAGAAAGTAAATGCAAGTTAGCTTTACTAGTCGGGTCTCTGAGTTCATTAAAAAGGACGGTTTGTGCTAATATCAATTGGAGAAATTTTATGCCCATATCTTGTACTTTGAGCAAACTTTAAAGATAACAAGATGCAGTGTATTAACTATTGTAATTCTACTATTTTGTTGTGAAATTTTATCTTTTTCCTCTAAAATTAAAAAAAATATATATGCAGTGTCCTATGTATTAAAAATATGTACACTTTCACAAAAATACATACTTAAGCACTCACTTTGTGCCCAAAGCTATTCTAGGTACTGAGGCGGTTTAAATGGTGAATATGATACACATCAAGTACTACTCTTCACGGAGACTGAATTTTGATTATTAAAAACTACACGTTCTGCTGCTTAGATTATCTTAGGATTTTGTTAGTCTTCTTTAAAATACAAACAGAGAAACACAGAAGGTAAAGTCTTGTATTTCCTGTGACACAGTGAAACTGCCTTGTGGTAACAGAGCGGTCCTGAAGTCTCAGTGACTTAACACAACACAAATTTGTCTTTCTCAGCCAACTGCTATGTGGGTTTAGCTCCTGCATCTCGGAGCTAGATCATTTGGAACATGTAGGCTGCAAATTCTTTTCCTGCACTGGGGCAGAGTGTGGGGGGAGCCTGGCTCTTTCTGCAGCGTCAATCATGGCATTTACTTAGGCACACAGCCCGAAGCAAAGACGGGAAACCTGGGGAAAGGCAAAGAAGCCGAGTAGTCACTGCCTGTCTTTACCGTGATAAGCAGTATTTGTTAAGTACCTCTTCGTAGCAGGACTGTTTCTAGTGCTTTATTTCTGTCACTCACCAAGATATGAGGTAAATATTAACATTTTCTATCCCATGTAATAAAGAGCCAAGGCACAGAAAACAAACGGTTTATTCAAGACACTATGATAATAATGGTGGAGGTGGGATTTTAACTGGAGCTGTAAGCTCTAAAGTTTCTTAGGTTTCTATCAACAGTACTTTAAGAACAATACAATTCCTTGAGCACGGTGGCATGTGCCTGTTTTCCCAGCATTCCAAGAGGCTGAGGCAGGAGGATCTTAATTTAAAACCCAGTCTGGACAATTTAGCAACTTAATGAGATCTTCTCTCAAAGAATAAAAGTGGGATGCACCTCAGAGTGAAGGCCTTCGGTTCAACCGGTAGCTCTGCCAGTAAATAAATAAACAAATAAAATGGAAAAATCTGTCTTCCTTGGGGATAGATCTTTGAGAAATATCTTGTAGACTCATCTGTTCTTTTACTTTGGTGTGATCTGGAAACACTTCTGACCAGTTAGAGAAGTTTCCGTCTGGAACGTCTCAGTTTTCTCCCAGCTTCATGAAAATGTTTAGGATTTTTAAACTTTCATTTTTCACAGAGGTTACTAATAGTTTAAGAGTTTCAGTGACTTCTTTTGAGCTAGTAAGTCACATCAAAGAGTCTAGGCAAGACATTTGCCAGTAAGTGGAAAGCTATTGATGATTGGAATATTATCATCCCTCCCCACTAAAGAAATTACCATGAAGTATCATGTATGGAGCTTCATTCCCTAAAGAATATACACATCCCTTGTGAATAGGAGCCTTTGGTGATTAAAGCAAAGTCCCTCTTCTGGGTTTTATTTTATGTTCACACTTATACTCTTCCTCCTCCATCCCGAGCCTTCCATGAGAACAGGGGACCACAGGTAACTGGAATTGTTTGCCTTAGCAATGTCTGAAGAAGCTGGGCCGTACAATCCTGGGCCTACTGCGGTGGGATGCCAACAGCCTTTATTGCCACCTGCTGGCTCCGTGTTCTCAGGAGACTCCAATCTGTCCTCTCTGAGTCTAAGTCTCTGCTTCTATTTGCCTTTTGCTGACTAACTTCATCCCTGTGACATTTGTTGGTCTTTTGATTAAGGTTTGGATGAAAAATAGCTGATGAAGAAGAAATAAAAAGTTTAGCCTTCAGCACAACTATTCTTTAAACTCATGCTAATGCATAAACAAGGGTAATAGACAGCCATGCTCCACAGTGCTGAGTTGCCGCCAAGTGGTTTTCATTAAGCGTAAGTTAAAACACTTCCCAGGATGCAGTTCCGAGGGGCACTGTGTTATTAATCACATGCCTTGATTAGCCTTGGACAGTGGGAAAAGTGAGCTGGCTGAACAAAAATTATTTTCATCTTTCTGAATTTCCTTATTTTCCTGAGATGGGCATTCTGAAGGCTTTAGTTTTTTTGAAAAAGGGGGAGCTATGAGAAGTACTTTTCCAATTACAGATTGATTTACAATGTCTGGAATTTGATATCATGTGGCTTTATATTTTAAGTATTTTACTATGGAAGGACATATTGATGCAGACATATACAGGGTATAAGGCAAAACTTTCAAAATCTTTTTTAAAACACTTAAGAGAATAAATAACTCAGTTTAACAACACAGACTTAAGAAATGAACATAGACTCCTAGTATTTAGACATGTTATGATTATAAAGTTTTTCTGATGGTAAAACCCTCAGTTTCTTATGTATTCACGACTGCTCTAACACCCTGGAAAACATTGGTATGAAAAGAAAGGTGACAAAGGTTCCACAAGAAGTAGAAAAAATGAGAAAGGTTGAGTTATGGTAAAGCTCACAAATTAGTATGGGTAGGTGAACAGAATTCAGAAACAATGCATCAGCTTAATTCAATACAAATCAGTATGCTAGCATAATTATTTTTTATTATTTGATAAGCTTCATCCTAAAATATATCTCTAAGAAGAAATGAGTAAAAAGAGCTAAGAAAAAATGTTATAAAGATCTTACTCAGTTTTTGCCAGGCCATATCAGACTACATGCTCCAGGTAAAGTCATGTACACAGCATAATGAAGTTGCAGATATAGGAAAGCAGTCAGCTTGGAAAATTCACAAATGAACTGGTGTAAGCATAGGAAAAGTAACTAATACATGGTACCAGAAAACTTCACTGTGGAAAAGGTAGAACTTACTCTGCACCATATGTAAGATATCAGGTGAATTAAGGGCTAACCGTAAAAATTAACAACTGTTAGAATAGACTTAAGAGACTGTATAGTTTGGGGAGAAATGCTGAAAAATCTCTGTAAGCTGGACACCAAATTTAGGAAGCAATAAGCAAAAGGCTAACAATTTTTATTCCACTGGGGTGCCTAACAGGCTCTGTGGCTTCCAATGAGACTAGTTCTCCTCCATCTACAGCTTGCCTACAGCGCTGTTTAAGGGAGGTTCAGACACTTCACTGCATCTGTGCGCCACATTCTGCACTGCAGTGTAGAAGGGAAATGAGTGAGCTCCAAGTGCCCTTGAACCCAAGTAAGGCATCCTACTCCTGATTGATACAAATCAACCAACAACTGTCTCTAAGGATCCCTCTTCCAGCACCTCCACCCAGCCTCAACTGAAACCATGATTAAGAGTTACGAATTGAGCTGGGTGTGGTGGCTCACACCTATAATCCCAGCACTCAGGAGGCTGAGGTGGGAGGATCCTTGCGAGTTAGAGACCAGCCTGGGCTACAAAGTGAGCTCAAGGCCAGCCTGAACTGCATAGCGAGACCCTGTCTCAAAAAGACAAAAAAAAAAAAAAAAAAAAAAAAAAAAAAAAAAAACACCGACGAATCATCATTCCCTGGAAGAACACTCGTAGTAATCTCACTGGATTATGACCCTGTGTACTTTAAACACAGCCAGAAATGCAGGCTTCTTGGGTCATTATGGTTCATCTCATCCACAGACAGTTCTGTGTATTCTCTAGCTTTGCATAACCCAAACTTCTATATATCTCTGACTTTCAACTATGTGATACAGAATCTGATTCAAAAGAAAATATAGAGTCTCCTGAGACATTATTAAAAACTTCATGACAGTATCAGCAAAACATGGAACTATTCATGAATCTCTTCTAAGAGACAACACAGGTTATACGCTTATGAAGTCAGGTTCGTGCCCCCAAACCCTTTCTTTACTGCCTCATGCTCTGTGATCTGCCAAATCCTCGATATTTTTAATTTCTTCTCTAAATGTTTAGCATAATTCTTCTTAATCTAACTAAAACATACCTGTCCATGAAGACACTGTCAGATTGCCATATCCCACGTAACGTGGCCTTTTTCCTCGTGACTTTCCCTTTTTAGGGTATTCTCTTTCTTCTTTAAAATGATAGCTTCTTTCAAGCCCGCATCATTCATCTTTAGCGCTCAGAATCCCTCTTAGTTGCTGTCATCAGCATTATCTCTGCACTGTGTAGCTCCTGTGAGATCTCAACAAATACATTAGGAAAGTGACTAAATAATTTGTATCATTATTTTAAAAAAATGGATGGAATGTGAATTCTATTTCTCCGATTCCATAAAGCCATACACACTTCAAGCAGAGTGTTTTGCCTGAGTAACTATATATTTTCTGTTAATGTCTAGACATTTGCATTGTATGCTTTGTGTACATTTTATCAGAAAACCCGCCCAAACAGCCTATTATGAAGCTAAGTTGGAATCTATATCCCACGTATTTAAGATTATTCCTTCAAAATGCTGGCAGGGAGGATGAAGGTGAAAGAGTCAGTCGATACGACTTCAGGAGTAAACACACATCCCTCCACAGTATGTATGTTTATCTTTGGCCCAGAAATGCTAGCCCCTGAAGTTTGCTCATTGCTTCTAAATACTGCCCTCTCCTGGCCCAAGAGTGCCAGAGCACTCCTTCATGCGAGGCCTGCTTATGAAAAGAGAAATGGATGCAGCTGGAATCAAGGATACTGTGGCAAATTGAAAAGGAAGAATAAATATAAGCACAGACCTGGAAAGGCAGATTCTGTCCCTCTCAGCCTGCATGTGCTCTTGCCATGTTTTTCCTACAGAGCTCATTCAGTCCAGTGTCCTCAGGAAGAAAACAGGGAACTTACACCTGTCCCCATGGCATGAGTGCCTTCTGCAATCATGGGGCTGGGAAAACATGAGGCCACATTCCCACTGTTGACAGCTTTCTGCTCCCTCCCACACAAACCCCGCCCCAGCCCTTCATCCTTGCTACCAGCGTTCCTCTGATTTGCTGTCCATTGTTTTTCCCCTGCAAGGGTCACACATAAGTCACCTCTTTTTTTTTTTTTTTTTTGGTCTTTTTCCTTTTTATCAGTACCAGGGATTGAACTCACAACTGCCTGCTTGCAAGGCAGGCGCTTATGCCGCTGAGCTAAATCCCCAGCCCCAAGTCACCTTCTCTTAAGGTAGAGCTTTCCCTGAGTACCACAGTTGCAAATGTGTTTGTCTCTTGTTACCAAGAGTTATAAGGAATTCTTACCACCTTTGGATCTAGGTTATTCAACTCTCTGCAAAGAGCACGTTAGTGATATCATTTGGGAAGAAATAGTGTAAGAGAGGAAAAGAAATGGTAAGTTGGATCAGAGCAAATATGCTGACTTTGATGATGCCTTCTAAGTTGATCTCCAGTCTAGAATCTAAAGGCTCTGTGCTTGTCTTCACTAACACGCAGGCTGCAGAGCTTGCCACCATGTTCGCTTTTGCAACATATCCAGAAAGTGCTAAATTGTCTCTGCACATCCACATTAACCAGTGAGGCTGCTCATAACCAGAGGTGACCACCCCAGCCCTGGAACACAGCCAGCAGGGTCGAGGGCATTCGTGAATTCACACACCAATAGTGGGCACATTCAAAGGAAGCTGTGGTCTAGAAAATACAACAGAGTAAGGAAAAGTAACATGTCTTATCAAATTATCAGGAAATTCTGTGAATAAATTCTGTGACAAAGAAAAAACACGCCCAACTCTGCAAGCCTGGAGTAACCTGCAGTTTTTAAAGGCTGTGTCCTGGCTGTCCCTGAGAGCCCTGATTCCTCTCACTTTTCACTGCCTCAAAGCCCAGCTCCGGATCTCCTTGGTGGAAAGGTTTCCTAACAACTTTGTTGCTCCTGTCTGTGCTAGCGGCAGCAGTTACATGAAGCCTATGTAACTGCACTGCTGCACTCAGTCTTGTGTGGATCACTGATGTTTTATTTCAGTCTGTTTAACAGTGATCCACGTTCACTGGCCTTCAGGGTTCTGTCCCCCTGTGCTCATCAGAACAAGCAAGAACCAAATTCCTATTAGATGAGTCAGGAGTCCACTCTCTTCCTCAGATGATTCTCAAAGACTGCCATAAAGTGCACATCTGTATTAGTTGTTGTTTGCCATCTGCTGCTTCTAACTGCCGTTTGTGTGTCCCATGAAGTTTCAGCTGCTGTCTTTGTGTGTCCCTGTGTAGACTTTAGCTCTCCTCCTATTTCCCAACTCCTCTTCATGCTTTAGCACAACTCACAGGACAAGGAAATAGTAAAGCTTTCCTTCAAGCTTGAAGATAAAATACAGAACTAGATAGAAGCTGTTATGGTCTGTGTCAAGATGTTCCCCAAAGCCTCAGGCAGTCCTAGAGGTTTTCCAGCAGTTGCTGAAGCCAGAGTGTGTGACTGATTTGTGGTGCAGTGCAATGCTGAGATCAGGCTGCTAGGATTAGGGCGGGTGACTGCTGGATCAGCCCACTGATCGCATTGGCTCCACCTAATCCCAGCCCCCTGGATATAACATAAGGGACAGAAGGAGATTCTCTTGCTGCTTTTGCTGTCTTCCGTTGCCAGGCACTGTTGGCCTGGTGCCATGTGTCAGCCTGCCTGCGAGCTAGCTGATTATGAGCCAAAAATGCTGCACACTGTGAGCTAAATAAACCTTTCCTTCTTTAAGGTCAGGTATTTCCTTCTTTGGGTGTCAGGTATTTTGTCTCAGCAACGAGAGAAATGTAACTAAGACAGAGTGTAAAAAAGGAACGTGTAAGACTTGGTGACAATGGCCCCTGCTCTTAGCTGCACCAGTTTTATCCCACGTAAAGAAAGCATCCTTACTGTCCGCTGCTCAGTCAGTCTTGCTCACATTACTGTTTCTGATCCCTCCTCACATATTTGGAGCTCCCCTTGACCTACTCCTAAGTCCAAACTCCATTTTTTTCTTTTTTGGTCAAGCTCTAACCAGAGGATAACAAATCAGTTTGTTTCATAATTGCCTAAAGTTGGGCTCTACCCACTATAAAGTTGCCATCCATTCTTTTGCAAAATTGTCTTAACTTTTTATCTCAATTGCCTTTATGAGACTAAATCCAGGTCTAAACTTTGCATATCAAAAATATCCTAGTGGCTGAGGATTTAGCTCAGTGGCATAAGCACCTGCCTGGCAAGCATGAGGTCATGAGTTCAATCCCTGGTACCAAAAAAAAAAAAAAAAAAAAAAAAAAAAAAAATCCTTGGAGTATATCTTCAAAATATTTAGAAGATTCTAAATTTTAATGTACTGTCATTCCTAGTATGCAAATATGGTTACAAATTTTAAACTTCCACCTTTTTTTCACCCTAACCTAGCAAATATGTCTGCGTTTATGGCAAAAATAATATTTTATCCTCCTGGGTTTGAGCCCAAATGTTGATTTTCCACAAGAGGGAAAGTGGTCCCATAACAAAAATCATGATATAAATTTACACTTGAGCCTAACGGCACAGACTATCATTCTCCCCCCAAATTTCTTTCTATCTTCTGCCTCCTGTCACAGTGAAGGCACATCTCTAAGCCCACCTGGCCTGTAGGTAAGGCCATGTGGGTGAGATTTTGCAGTGAACACAAGTGGAATGATGAGAACGTCTTCTGAATCTGTCCTGTACAACCCTGCCACATGGGTAACCCCTGCTCCTCCAGCTCCCAGGGTGGATTCTAAGACCAACATACTGAATGTTGACGGTGGCACAGCTTCCTCAGTCAGACCTTCCTGTCAAGGAAATGCCTCACTCAGCTGCTCTTTTCAGAACAAGCAACAAATTTGTCCAGTTTAAGCCACTATTCTGATTTGGGTACCTTTGCTACATTAGCTGTTCAGTCAGAGAAATCCCTGCTCGGCCGCGATGTCTATGTGGTAGGAGAAGGCACACTAACGGCTCCAGTGAGGCTGCGGCTCAGGCTTTCTTGATGACCTCCATTTTGATATTTGTCTAGAATTCTGCCACGTGAATTTCATTCTATGGATAAAGACAGAATATTTTTAGTTCTCTTTTACAATAACTGTATCGTCAGAAAGAATCAGGAAATCATGATCTTCTGTGAACCCCTCAGCAAAGGTGTTTGAAAGATTCTTTCCAGTGGAATACCTTGTCAAACATGGAGAAGGAGACAGTCAGTAAAATATGGAAGGGCAGACTGGGGAGGTCGGAAAGTGTGTAGAGTACAGATTACTTAAGTCTGGGAAGTGGTGAGTGGAAGGAGGAGCAGGAGCAGGGCCAGTAAGGGAAATTTTTTTCTTTTTTTGTGTGTTTTCAAGACAGGGTCTTCCTATGCAGCTCAGGCTGGCCTTGGGCTCACTTTGTAGCCTAGGCTGGTCTTGAATTTGCAAACAATTCTCCTGACTCAGCCTCTCAAGTTCTGGGATTACAGGAGTGTGCCACCACATCCATCTTGGTAGGGGAAATGTGGAAGGGGCATACAGCAAGCAGAAATTTCAGAAAGGGGAGACTGAGGTACCAAAGGTAAATACACTGTTGGGTAAATTATTATGCAACAAATGAGGGGGCTTTCATCTGTTCCTTCCCTATTACTTTAAGTAAGTGATTTTGAGGGACCATGCTACTTTGAGACCTCCACACTGATTCTGAGGAAAGCCCTGGAAACAATCATGAGATAATTTTGGAATTTTAAAAAATAATCTACACTTTTGAACCAGTGCAGGCAGGGAGAGACAGCCAGAACTGTCCCTGTGCATATGCTGCCATGGGGAGGCTTACTTCCCTCAGGTAACCAGCCTGGACAGGGAGAAACAGCCAGACATGCCCCATGCACCTGCAGGCCAACAGAGATGCTTGCTTCTCATGGGTAGCCAGCACAGGCTGGGGGATTCACACAGACATGACTGCTGTGTGCCTGCTTCCGCCAGGGGAGTCGATATGTTGCCACACAAGCTGAGTGAAGAAGCCGCCCCCACACCACGCACCCATGGCCATCCAGCAAGCCTCCATTTAGCTGCACAGATCTAGAAAACTTATCCCACACCCCACTGCCTCCCTGGGTTTGGAGAAACCTAGGTGCCTGGCCCATTCTCCTACACTGTGGAGGGGCAGCCAATATGGGAAGTGCGTGGGACCCCACAACTGGCTTGTTGGAAGGAACACAGGAAAATTTCAAGATAAAGGAGCAAAAGGCAATTTCAGACCTCTGGCCCACACAGAGCAAGTCTGGGAGAAATAGCCCAGACTTGGAAGAAGACGGAAGCTAAAAAACCTGAAATCTCTGAAAGACTAGCAACTGAAGTAAAGAACCTTATGAGGCTGTAAAAGTGATCAAATCAGAAATAATATCTCAGGTAAAGAAGAAATCAAAAACAGCGAAAGAATTGCTAAACATATCTAAAGAAGACACAGATTTTAAAAGGAGGAGCTTAGGATAATGGTGGAAACCTTGAATGAATAATATAGGAAGGAATTACAATGCGTGAAACATTCAAAGCGATATTCAGGAAATTAAAAACACCATCGAAAGCTGGGAAGAAATTGCTTAAAAGAGACAAGATAAACTTTCAGACCTTGAAGACAGGATTGAAGCTAGTTATCATGATAGAAAAGATCTCTTAAAAATAACAAGGAACCAGGAAATAGCAATTCAATAGCTGCAAGATGATGCAAAGAAAAATAAGAGGGATAAGTGTCAGTGAAAAATCAGGGGCCAACACAAATGAAATAAAAGGGCTATTTACAGAAGTAATGGCAGAAAACTTCCCAAATATGAGAAAAGGACCTGGCATACAGATAAGCAAAAACAATCTACACCCAGATATATAATAATCAAGATCCCACAAATTCAGCACAGAAGAGATTATTAAAGGCTGTTAGAGAAAAGAAACAGATCAACTATATAAGAAAAGCCATCAGAATCATGGCAGACTTCTCAACACAAACCATCAGGA